TGTTAGATGAGTGGGGACTGTGCCCTATTTTCCACTCTTGAGTGCAAGGGGAGCACAGTCTGCCACCTGCGCTGGAGATGCTGAAGCAAGGAGAGAGCCACGTGCCTCCTGGGCACCTCCTCCCTTCAGCATCTCCAGCTGGGATGGGGAGCGCAGGCACAGCCAGGGTGGTGGAGCACAGGACACATGCCAGCATCCCTCCCCTGTCCCTCCCTGTGCAGTCCCCGGATGCCAAGCAAGGATGCGGGAACCATTTGTGGGTGGCAGTCAGACATAGTGGAGTGACTGAGCAGCGCTGGCAAATAAATGGGAGGGCATCAGCTGGCAGAGCTGGGGTCGTGGGGGGCGGGTGAGAGGAGGGGGACTAAAAGGGTGGAGGTCCCCGGGCATCACCAGCAGCAGTGAAACAGTTAAGATGTGGGCAGCCCTTTTTCGTTTGCTGCATCTGAAAATAGCACAGCAAAGCCTTCGGGGTACGAAGCAGCGCTGCACTGACATTTGTCCCCTCCACCACCCCTTGCTGCTCAGTTCATGGGGTGGGAAGGGCCACCCACTTGGAGATGGAGTCCGGTTAACGAGGAAAGCCTCTTGAGGAACCAGACATCACTTCCTCAGGGCTGGCCTGCTAAAAATAGCCTGGCGAGGATGAATACTTGCGTGAAACAATCCACAACCCAATGTGATCTGGTACCCGCTGGAATTTCTTCAGGCTAAAATGCGGCATAGTACGAGGCAGGCAGGGAGGGAAGGAGGAGAAGCCTGTTGCTTGATTGCTAGCAACTCATTACGGCTCTCTGCTAGGGGGGAGACAGGGACAGATATCTCCAGGGCATGATTCAGGGCAGGGCATGGGCTTGGGGACGCAGCCAGCCCTCTCAGGTCACCTATCTCTTGGGGTGCCTAGCGCTCTGCTTTAACTTCAGAAGGATCCCAGAGCAAATTACTGTGCTTCGAGACTACACCAACCCATTCACCAGGAGCTAAAATACCGTGTGTTATTTGTTAACCCTTGCTGGTAATGAAACCATGGCTTCAGTCATTTTTTTTTCAGCAGGAAAACATTGCTGATCTCTTGCAAAGAGGCAGCCTGAGCTCCCAGAAGCTGCCAGATGCACATTTTTCTCACCCCCTCCTAAAATATCACTGAAATTGTAATTTACTGAGATGAACGAGCAGTTGACTAAACAGGCATTCATTATAAAATTCATATTAAGAAAAGAGACACTTGGGATAATTTTGATTGATTTACTTGGCAGAGTTTTGATAGCTACTGAAAAACATACTATTCATGTTTAGGTGAAAAATAAATGGAGTCAAATAAGTGTCACTGCATAGTACTAGGAGGTATATACAGCCACATGTAAAAATGCATAAACACAAACATTTCTGTACAGCAACTTCTCCTTTCAGTCTGTATAGAGAAACACTGGTTTATAATATGGGGAAAATATAAAGCAGACATACATGCAACAAGGACATGACAGTTACATAGGTCCCACCTGCCTCCCAAGAGTTACAATAATAATAACAATAATAACAATAATAATAAAAGCCTTTTTCAGGGAAAAAATTTGAAACCTGGAATGTTTTCATGTTGAGGTTTCCAGAGAGCTTCAGATGTCAAACATATCTGAAGGTGATGTAAAGGCTTGATTCAAAGCCCTGTGAAGGCAATGGAAAGACTCCATTGGTTTCAGCGAGCTTGGGGTCAGGCCCAGCTATTTAACCACGATCCCGTTCTGCCCTCCCCCAAAATCCAAAGTTGAAGTCTGCAGATAAAAATAAACAATCGTATCATACAAAACTTTGTATATAGAATACAAAAGGTAACCGTTGACTTTTTGTATAAAATACAACTTTTTGATAGTATATTTATTTCACATATGTATAAATATAACCCAAATAATATGATTTTTATTATTCCTACCAAAATATTATTACTTTTTGTTTTATTTTTACAAAAGTTTACAAAACAAATAATTCTTTATATTTACAACCCAGTACTGCGAAGAGTGCCCGGTCAGTGATGAAAAATAGACTATAAGGGTAGTGCACTTAGCCATTGCAAAGAAAGAGAAAAAAGACACTAGCTCCGTTCAGATACAGCTGTTCTGAAGAAATGATATCGGATTCAAGTTTTGGTTGCAGGAGTCTTTCAGAAGCTCACATTTCAAATGCATCAGGCTTATCTTTACGGGACTGCAAATGGCCTCTACCTTTGCTGAATTTACTTAAGACAGGATGAAATTTTGATCCCGGGGATGGCACCTACAGCCTGGTGTCTTCTCCACTCCAGACTGAGGCCAACAGGACAAAGCTCAGCACTGAATCCACCACCGGATGATATCCTGAAGTCTTGGGACCAGCTCCTCAGCTGAACAACTTTTTTACATCATTTGAGGATCTGGAAAGCAATCTGGTCTTACTACGGAAACCACAGGTGGCTTTTTCAATGGCATGTGAAGGCAGCTGAAGTTACCAGATTTCAGTGCCTGTTGCTCATGATGATACCAACTCAGCCTCGGCCTTGGTGGCATCACAGTTGTCTGTTCCATGCAGAGCTTCAGCGGTCACTGCTGACCTGCTCAGGGACGGGGTGTGTGCCAGGGTGTGAGACAGATGAGCCGATCTTCCCCTCAGTTTAAACTCATGTAGCTACTACTTCAGTTGAGTTTTGCACAATGTATAGGGGACTTATTTGTTAGACCGCATCCATATCTCTCCAAACGTAGGCAGGGTGCCAGTGACCTGGGCTGAAAAGCTCTTTAAAGACTTGGAAAAATTTGTACTGGTGTATCAAAGGGACTGCATGCACCCTGGCCGAAACGGGGGAGAAGAGGGAGCTTTCTGGGCAGCTGAGCCACCACGTCACACAATGCGGGGGGTGTGCAAGGATCACTAGCTGGGGCAGCTGAAGGGACTCTTCGGCAGGCTTTCTCCTCTCTCTTACGCAAAACGTGTCTGGGAATGAAGAGCATCATGGCCCAGACCGCCTCAACTGGCATATCTAGCTAAATGCCCACGTTACACCTTTCCTGGAGGTGCTGGTGCTTGTGTGTGTGGCGATGCTTCCTGAAACATCACGAAAAATTGCACCCACGTGAAATGACAGGGCAAAATAACTGGAGAACCCTTATTAAATAAAACCTCTCTTGAGAAATAGGTCAGATAAGTGCAGAGGCTATTGTCAAGTAGTCTACTCATCCCACTGCCGCTAACAAGGATGAATAAAGCACTTGCACAGGGTAGAGCAATGCCTCTTGGCACCGGGGCATGAGGATGTAGGCATTGTATTCCTTTGCCACATCTAGTTTTAACTAATTCAGAGGAGGTTGTGAAACACGTCACACCGCATCATTTTAAAGAACAGCACTTTCATTTGAATTGCAAGATCTATTCCCATCTATGAATCCTCCTGTCTGACTCACTGTGGAGCTGCTTTATAGTCACACAGCACCTCCTTCTGATGCCCTTACTGACCAAGTCTATAGGAGAAAATTTAACACGGTCAAGACTATTCCCTGGCACCGAAGTCAAGTGGTGCGGGACAATCTGTACGCTTACTGCTCTGCTCTGTTAGCCTCTAAGGCAAGGTGGCTGCAAATTGTCTATGGGAATGGTTCTTGCCCCAGGTTAACTCCCTAGTGATGCACAGAAATTGCTCAGGGCAATGTTAGCTGGGCCATCCCCAAACCCAGAACAGAAGAAGGAGTCCAGTGCCCAGAAATATTCGCCAAAGCTCTTTCATTTACAAGCACAGATGTGGCTGAGTGCAGCCTCCTGCTGCGAGTAACCCAGGTTGTTATACCCGATCTGCGTGCTCGTTTCAGCAGCGGCGCCTCTTGTTCCACATTCAGAGGCTGTGGGGACCTGGGCCATCACTGGACCTCTTTCAACTCCCCCCATATGGCAAAGGGAAAGTGGGATGCAGCCAAAATGCTGTGCAATCAAAACGGTAGCCTCTCCCCAGACAGAGGTGCTGGCATTTCTGCTGGGGTAAACCTGTTCAACAGAAGAGGACGGGGCTGAACTACCTGACACTCGCTGTGGGTTACGATGAAAATGAGGATAGTGGCTTAATTGAGCCGCTTCATGCATTTGCCCTCCTCTAAGCTGGACTGGGTAAGTAGTCGTTGAGGGTCAAATCGTGAGCACCCTCACCCTTAAGTCGTCCATTAAGTCACTGGAGTCTCTGGGGTAGGGCAAGGTGGCAAAGTGAGGATCCTGAGCTTTGGTGTAGTTCATCTCATGTTTTCCTCAATGCCAAAAACGATTGTGCTGCTGGCAGGACAGTAGTGTCCTCTGATAGTCGCTGCAAGCACTGATGAAAGGGAGAAAACAAACGGTAGAGCACACTGAGTAACGCACTGGATGATGTTTCCTTCTTCCCTTGGATGAGACCACTTACCCTTTTGTGTGCTACAAAACATAGAAGTTTTAAACCAAAATCATCAGGAAAGCAAATGTGAGTTTGTACTGTGTAGAAGTAAACAGTTTTTGTAACGCAATGAGATTTACACAGGGCCTGATGCTGTCAGGGCTGACTAGTCCCAAAGAAGTTAAGGGCTGTCAACACGATGACTGAAGAGCTCTAGACCGTTTGCGCTCTTACTTGCACTCAGAGAAATGGTGTTCCACAACCCATACCACTGTCTGATGCTTGTGTGTGTTGGAAGCTAAACACATTTTTTCCACGCAGCCCCCGTAAGAAGAGCTGATGGGTTTGCAATGCGCTGGGCACCGGCGTGGGGAACAGACCCTTCATGCGTTCTCACTCCTTTGTGACAGGCATGAATTATCACTTATGTTACTGTTTTGTCGGGGGACACTTCAGTTTTGTTCCTAGACCAACTCTTCAAACAGGGCAGTTGCCCTATGCGGTATTTTAAAGGACAGCCCAGTTACTGGGAGTGTAAATTAATAAAGCAGGTTGTTGGCATGTAAAGAGAAAACTAATGTTCTTACTGCCTCTTCATCTGGTTCACCCTTGGTACTGTCACTTATGAGTGGTTCCCCAAAATTTCATCGAGATTGATGTCTTTCATCCAGTCATCGTTACCAGGTTCCGTTTTCAGTAAAGAATCTATAAAGTCTGAGTCACTGTTGAGCGCAGGTCCTATACTGTCACCTTGCTGGTTCAGAAAGTCAAATGCTAGGTCATTACCGTGGTCACTTCCTTGGTAAACCCGAGAGTTTTGGTTGGTAGATGTGAAACTGGTTGATGGCAGAGATGATGGAGGTGTCATACTTGTTCCTGGCTGATTCAAGGTAGGCACAGTCTGTCCTCTCAGCTGGTTAGGTCTTGTGCTGAGACCTCGTAGTGAGCCAGCAGATTGTCCATTTAGAGTCTGGTGCATTTGGTTTAGAGGAGGCCTCATTTGGACTCCCGCTGTTAACTGATTAGGAGGTGCTAATGCACGCTGAGGAAAATGCTGGTTGCCTACATTGCGTTGCAGAGACTGGTTAGGATATGGAGTGCCAGTGGGGAAACGGACCCCTGCAGGTTTCAGTGCATCCTGCTGCTTCACTGCAGCTTCTTGCGGAGCCCAGTTCTGGGCAGTGGCAGTAGCCGTGATCATCACATTGGCCGGCCTTTGCGCAGCGACACCCGTGGCTCCATGGTTCAAGCTTGGCCTTACTTGCTGCGAGTTGACCACCGACCCTGTCCCAAAAGTTGCTGCGTTGTTTCCCTGCGTCATGGTTTGCTGTCGAGACATCATGGGGTTATTCTGGCTGGGCAGGACTTGGTTTTGGTTTCTGTGTGGCTGCATTTGGTTCATTCCTGAAGTCACGTTGTACGTGCTTGGTTGGTTGCAAGGAAGGTTCCCGTAGCAGCCCATACTCCGAGCGGCAGGAACAGAAGGCATTCGGGTCCCAGCTGGGGTGGACATGAGGCTGGAGCTCTGGGGCATGATGCTATGAGTTGAAATTGGGTTGGATAAGGACATGTTGTTGGAGCTCATACTCACAGCTGGTGAACCACCTGAAAAGGAGAAAACAGAAGGGTTAAAACAAACAGGAGTGCATCATACATGGTGTCATTCAAATATCAATAGGTTAAAAATCCAGTTTTCTAGCAGCAGAATTTCTTGAAGAAGATACTTTGGTCTTAAGAGGACTTGCGTGAACTTGCTCAAGGCCTTAAAGACGCCTATCACGCAAAAGGTGGTTTGGTCTCTATAAAGCCATTGGGGTCTTTCCATCCATTCAGAGGACATCAGATAAGCCAAAACCGGTGCCCATTGTAAGAGAAATACTGGAGCAGGGAAGGACAGACAGAACCACTGGGTAGGAAAGCAGACTTTTCTGCCTTTTTTTACAGGAACGCTAGACACCTCAAACAGGACAAAGCCTGTCTAAGTATGCAGAGGCAGAGGAGATCAATAACTTTTCTTCCTTACAGGGCATGGCTCATCCTGGCTCCCTCTAGAGACAACAAGGAGTGATAGGCACCATCATCTGGCCCCTTTTCCAGCTTTCTAAACCTACAGCAGTTGTATCTACCCATTCTGGAACTGCTTGTCCCAGATGATAGTCGGAACTAAGACCGCATCTCACACATTTGAAGCACTCAAAGCCTCTTTCCCGGCCTCGTGCTGGGAGAGCAGCTCAGCCCAGTCGGTGACCTGCTTGTCCTCCCACGTGGTGGCCAAGCAGGCATGGGGACATGGCTCAGTGCTGTACCTGGTGAGTGCCACCCAGGTGCCCCTTCTAAGCTCTGTTCCCGGCTGGGCTATGGCCCTTTGCCCCTGCAGAAGCTGACTTGCCCATGAGGGAGCCACACATGATACCTGATGTACAGGCATTTGCTGCACATGAACATCACCTTTTGTGCATTAGAAAACTAGAAGTTACGAGTTGGCACAAATCTACCCTTCATGGCTAATTCTGCCCAGTGGAGGATTTTGCCACCTCTGACATCTGCCAATGAATCACAAGAAGAGACATTTCTCTTCTCTTCAGCTTCCAAACCTCGACACCAACTCACTTGTGTGGCAGATTTGCAGCTACATAGTCTCTATTTTGGGCCAAAATAAGTCATTTATGCAATGTTGGCTGATTGCTTATGAAGTGCAAGGCTCTGAACTAATCCCTGAGAGACTGGTTGAAGAAGACCAAATGTTTTCTGAACACAGCCAGTCTAGCCAGTGTAAACCCAGGTTCTCCACTCTGGAGAACCCCCTTCTGCACACAATCAGGTGCTCCACAGCTTAATTCCCTTTGTTACTGTCACTTCCAGTACAAGCCCTACAAGAAGGGCAGCTAGGAGAAGTCGGGTTCAAGGCAAACAAAAGGTGTTTCTTCAAACAACATGCAGGTCAGTCAAGGAAATCTTTGCTACGTGGCACAGTACAAGCTAAATTCTTGTACTACTTTGGGTGGCTCCCAAAGTGTGAGAAAAACTGTTGAATGGGCTTGCCACCAAGGTACCACCACATTTCGGGAATTCCCAGAGGAAGAATGGAGGAAAATACAGCCCTGGAGCTTTGCTATTTCATAGGTGGCCACCAGTAGCAATTGTTGGACATGGCACACTACCTTGGTTTGATCCTTCGTACGTATGACAAAACCAGACTGAATTTGAGTAACTTTGACTTCATCATCAAATCTTATTACATATTAGTCTTTGTAATTCATTTTATTAGTTGGCCCATTGTCAATGGTGCCACACAGGTGCTTCAAGGCTGTGATCATGCCTGCAGCGTTCTCCACAGACTTCAGTCTCAGCGTGTGGCATGTTTTCCGGTCCTTCTAAGGTCTTTACAAAACTTGATAGTTTGGTTTCAAGGCTGTACATCACAACTGGTCACAGTAATAGCTCTTGCACTTCTCCAACATGGATGTAAAGTAAGGTCTTTTTTTTCTTGTTCAGCATCATCTCAGACTGTGCTTTTCCTTTCATTTGCAATCACACAGCCTGTTTACAGTGATATCTAGAGATCTATCAGACATTTCCTTATATACTACCTTAATTTTGTATCACTCTGGTTTCTTAACCAAAATAGGCGGTATGAAGTCAGATGCTTTAAAGGACATTACCTGAACAACTACTAGCTTTATGAACCAAAGCTGTGGTTTCATTGAAAAAAATACCACGCTAGTTTGAAAAGATTGATTTACATCAGCCCATGTTGCCTGGCATTAATTATATACCCTTCCAAAATTCTTTATTATTCAGGCTATATCAGCTCCCCAGTATTTTTGCTGAGCTCTGCATTAGGTCACTAGGGCTGCAATTACCTACTTACTCTTTAAGTTTTTTGTCATGGCATTAGCAGCCTTCCTTGGAGTTTCAAGACTAAATAAAAAGTGACATTAAGAATTTGGAGAACCTCTCAGCCAGCTCTTTTGAAACTCTTGAAGACAAATCATGCACATACATATTTAAAAAGTCTATGTTTAGGAACAGCTGTTTAATATACTGTTCTTGTTGAAATTTCACCATAGTGATGTTAGGTTACCTCACACTGGAACAGAAGAAAAAATTATCATATATTTCTGCCTTTTCTGCATTATTTTTATTCATATGCTATATCTGTTTAGTAATGGATGCAAAGGATTCCTTTTTTCCTTAACTACTTAGGAATAATCTCTTTCAAAATCATTATTCACACTGAGTGTGACTCCACAACCAGAGCTGCATGTTCCAAATCAGTATCATAGAATCACAGAATGGTTTGGGTTGGAAGGGACCTTAAAGATCATCTAGTTCCAACCCCCCTGCCATGGGCAGGGACACCTTCCCCTAGACCAGGTTGCTCAAAGCCCCATCCAGCCTGGCCTTGAACACTTCCAGGGATGGGGCATCCACAACTTCTCTTTTATATCTATATAAACATAGATACCTAAATTAAGAAGCTCATCTTATGCTGGAAGGCAGGCTTTTCCACAAACTCTCTCTAAGCAGGAGATACTTGACTATAGAGAATCTAATTGTCCTAACAATTACGTTGTCCTAACTGAAGCACCTAAATTCAGTCCCCGAGCTAAGCAGTTCCTAGGTCAGGAGATACTATGAGGAGTCCACCTGGTTCTACCCCTACAGGGACAATCAGATTCTCCTCCATGTCCTCCCAGGGAGCTCCCTAACTGAATTTAGCTCTGGAAATGAAGAGGAGAAGATCAGTGCTCAGCAGGAGACCTCACGATTAGCCCCATCTTTGGCTTTTCTAATGGGTTCTGCATTGCTTACTGCTTTTCGAAGTACTGTCACATCTTCTCACAGGGGTGATACAGATGGGGGCCTTGATTCTTTGCTCCCTTACGCTACTACTAAAGCGGAGGAATAGCAAAGAAAAGGTGGCATTTCAAAAGACCTGGAATTGCCATCTGGGGAGAGCTGGTTGTCTGCCTCCAGCTGAACGACAAGTTTGTGGAGTCCCTTCACTTGCTGCTGGGACCAAACCCTTCCAGGGGTGACCCTACCAGCTGTTGAGCCACCCCCAGGGCTACCATCCTACTGCTCCTGCAAATGCCACGCTCTTTAAAGAGCACAAGTGGTCGGGACATGGGTTGTACTTGTTGTGCAGAAGACGAAGCTTCCTCTTTCTTTGTATTGCTATTTTGGTCCTTTTATTTTTAACGCAAATATTTTCCATTCTGATTTCTTCCAGATGGGAAGAAATGTCTTCCCTGGCAGCGCTGTGTACAGCAGCTGGGCACCCCAGGCTGCGGCGATTCAGAGAAACGCCTTCACTGCCCGATTCACCTGCTCTCCTCTTGGGGGTTTCTTGCTGTGACATGGCACTATGGGAAAAGCATAGAGGAATAAAATGCTTAACCATGTGTCTCCAAGCCCCTATGTTATTTTATTTGACTCTGTTTCTTCTTCCCTGACCTGAGCAAAGCCATTCCCAGAAAAAGGGAACGGATTCCCTGCTGTTACTGCCTTATGCAAGAGTTTCCTAATCGCTCCATCTGGTAGCTTTGCTGCGAGCTCCCAGCACAGCCCTTTCTCCCAGGCTCGCCTGAAAAGCTGCTCTCCTCCCTGGGCTCGCTCAGCGGGGACTTGAGATTTGAATGGACAAGTGCTGCCAATCCCACATGTTTCAAACCCAGGAGATGGGACTCCAAATACCACGAGATTGGCAAAGAGTCCATCAGATTAAGAACAAGAAGAGCCACATAACAATGGTGATCTACTTATTTTGGAGCCTTTCACAGATGTGGCCACAGTCATTTCCATTTTCTCTCTCGGGCTAGAAATGGATTGTTTTTAAGTAAAAGCCAAGAGTCTCAGTTAATCATTTGATTCCAGGAAAGAGCCTTTAAACAACACACCAGCTCACAGGATTCCCCAGCAAACTGCTGGGGTTGCCAATGCATTTGTTTTATGAGTGCAGGAGGTGCCAAGCCATCAAGCAGGGCTCTCTCTGCCCTGTGGCATTGCCCTTACACTGGATCAGTGATGCTTGTGCAAATTTGCCGAAGATGATAAACACTCAGGCCCATTAGAAAGCAGCAGTTTCCAGACTGCAGCAGGCTTATCGCCACTAGAACTTGTAAACAAAGCAAAGCAGTGCATGAACATTGCCTGAGCACCCCAACCTGGCCCTTCCACGCTCAGCTGGGCTGTTGGTGCCATGGCCAGCAGGCTGAGCTGCCGTGGGAGCGAGCTGCACTTGGGAACTCGTTAAAATTGTAATCGAAAAAGTTTTGCTAGAAAGGGCAGGTATGAAGGAAAGACTCAGATCCTTGGCTGAATCTGCAGAGCCAACAATTACGGAAAAACAAACTAACCAAACCATCTTTTTTTTTTTCCTCAGTGTTGTATACAAAGATATACTAGAAGATAAAGGATCTTTTTTATACGTAAATGCACAGACATTTTGCAATATAAAGAACATCCTTTGATCCCATCTGCTGCATTTCGCCCCACGTCCTCTCTCTTGCCAGCACCTTTTCCTTACTCTGCCTTTGCTTTCAGAGTAGCTTCCAGCTAACCAGCAAGGTTAGGTTAACCTTGGCATAAAAGCCAAACTGGCAGTCCTGTGCTCCCAAAACTAGACTTTCCAACGAGGGGAGGGCACAAGAGTTGAAACAAAGGACTAGTCCTGAAGTGTTGGGCACTTTCTGCCCTGGGCAGTTTTGGCTGAAAGCAAGGGCTTTCACTCTACTGTTTGGCTGATCTGTTGAAATGCTGCTTGTAGAGCAGCACTGAGGCCATGACCATGGCATATTAAAAAGACCAAAAGTTCAGATGGTAGCTCTGGTTGCCCATGATGGTGTCATGTGAGGTACTTAAAAATCAGTATGAGGGTCCTTGTGCTGTACATGAGCTGCCATTCGAAGGGAGGGGTGGTTCTCATCTCAGTTTCTGAAGCAATATGTACCACATACATGGGAGAAGCATCTGGATGGAGTGAGGTTGCATAATCAAGAAGCCACCTCTTTATCAAGTATCTGGGTGCACATCTGCCCCAGGCAGTGCTAATGGGAGGGGTACCAATGCCTCCTTCCCCACGCGGAAAGGCTGAAAGAGTTGGAGCTGTTCAGCCGCGAGAAGAGAAGGCTCCGGAGAGATCTCATTGCGGCCTTCCAGTACCTAAAGGGGGCCTACAGGAGAGCTGGGGAGGGACTTTTAATAGGACATGTAGTGATAGGATGAGGGGGAATGACTTTAAATTGGAAGAGGGCAGGTTCAGATTAAGCATTAGGAAGAAATTTTTCACTATGAGGGTGGTGAGACACTGGAACAGGTTGCCCAGAGAAGTTGTTGAGGCCCTATCCCTGGAGGTGTTCAAGGCCAGGCTGGACGTGGCCTTGGGCAACCTAGTCTAGTGGGAGGTGTCCCTGTCTATGGCAGGGGGGTTGGGACTCGATGATCTTCTATGTTCTTTCCAACCTAAACCATTCTATGATTCTATGTGTGAGAGATGCAGCATCAGCCTGGATGAACCACCAGCTGGTTCTCCAGATCAGCACTTCTCAGTGGTGGGGGACAGTAAGGTAAATAGCACAGGAGAGCAGCAGCCAGCACCCACTGCCTCTGCAGTGATTTAAGTGGACACACAGAAAATCAATCCCTGGTCATCAGTGCAGGCATGGCTCTTCTGCATGGTGTTCCAACTGGAAGGACGGAAGGAAGGAAGGAAACAACGGGCCAAAATTTAGCCAACGCGCACTTACCAGGATATTGGTTAGATTGTTGCATGTTGACCACATTCCTTCTTTGGTCTTTATAATCTGGTGGTGGTCGTGTCAAGTGTCTGTTCAGCTGATCTTGCGGAGTGATTTTCTCCTAGAGGATTAAAGTAGAAATACATTAATTTGTTTTTCTCTATGCTTTCCTGGCTCTGTGTTTTGTCTGCCTCTCTTTTCTCAGTACGTACAAAGCATAAGCATTCCTTCCTTTCACCCTGTCTGGTCGACAAGAGAGGCAGCTGTGAACCTGTGCCATCAACCACTGAAGGCTGTACGGAAAACTCTCTGCTGGTTGTATTGTGTTTGAGTCCGGTCTAACCTTCCCTAAAATCACTGAGAGTTGCTCAGGCTCTGTGAACAATGGCCATGTCTGCACTGTAGTACAAAGTGTCCTCTAATGTCTACACCATCTTGCTCACCATGTTCATCAGAGGAGCCTGATGGTTCTTCATGGCTCCTACCTTGTCTGTGAAGCTGGGTTTATTTTCAGAGAAAGCACATCAAACACCCAGGTCCAAACCAAACACATAGCCAGGATGAAGCTGGGGAGCAACGAGTGTCCAGACCCGCAAGGTCCACACCGGCCCCTTGGCTCCATCAATGGTCATCAGCCCATTTCATCCACACAGCCCTCGCAGCGTGCACAGCTGGCAAAGAGGATTTCAGCTTGTCATCCCCATTTGCAGCCATGCCCATCCCTCACTGTCTTCTTCCTCCTTCACCAGTGAAGCTCCCACAAAATAAAGCCCATTGCTTTGTCCTCCCTGTGCCTCTCCTCACCAGGAGGAAACATGGCCAGGGTTTAGCAAGGACGGTGCTGAGCCACTCACCATTGCCTCGTGCTTCCCTGTACACCTACGTGGTACTGTCTTTCCTCTCACACTGGGAGTTCAAGCAGAAAGAGATGATTAGCAGGGGAGATTTTTTTATTTTGAGCCTGCAGGGACACCTCTCTGGTGAAGGGAAGATAGAAATCCAAGTCCTCAAACTGAAATCTGACTAACTGCCCTGTGTTCATCAATATCTGGAAAGCACAGGCACTGGAGTCAATGCCAAATCTTTCATCAGCATCAGTGAGACTTGATGCCTCCAGAGTGTTACTGCTCACCCATGAGCAATGACTCCTCGGGATACGTGGCCCCACAGCAAGAATAAGTGGGTTTGACCACGTCAGTCACTGGTAAGTCATTGCTGGTGCACAGGTGCCTCCTGGAGCTGTGCTTACTGGGCAGCTGCTGGGCAGGCTTCACCCCTTCTCTGCAACACGCCTGGGTTTCATGTTTGACTGCCAGAATGCATGAAAAAGAGTCAGGCCTTGGCTGGTGATGGATGTCCATCAGAGTAATTTGGGGATCTTCTGCCTGAAAAGAGCACACAAATGGACCTTCTCGTGAAAAATCTGTTTTTTCTTCTGCCAGGAGCACTTTAAAACACTGGGAGAAGAGCCTTTCTTGTGGTGTTCAAGCATTTCCGTAATGCACTCTGGGAGTGAGGGATCTGATTAAGATTTATAAGGCTCATTTTAACATACTGCTCAACCTGAACCCTTGTGAAGAAGAAAGACAAGTTATCTCCCAGGAAATCCCTGCAAGATATGTAAAAACTGTAGGCAGGCTTTGTGTGTATTTCTGTGTATATGATACAAAAGCAAAGGCAGGCTGATCACAAAACCGCATTCTGTAGAGTGATTTTAATTTCTATTTTATTGATTTTGAAGAAGAGCTATTTGAGTGATTAACTTTTCATTCTGCTAAAAATTCTGACAGAAAACTGCAGCACATAGAGCTGACTTGAAACTTCAGTTTTCTTCTGCATAAATTAAAAAGTCAACAAATATTTCCCTTATAGGACAAATTAAATCCTTAAATTCAAACTCAAGCTTTCTAATTGTATTTTTGGAATGGAAATAAACTTGCAAAAAAAAGATATCCTCTATAAGAAACTGGATCATTTTTGTTTTGAAAACATCCTCACAAGACCATGAATGTTTTTCCATTTATGTGTCGGTCTTTAATTACTGAATAGCATTCACTAAATGTGTCAGTATTTCTGGGTCTACATTTTTACAGAGAAAAGAAAGCTTTGCATTCAGAATGTCAGGCCGGCATGAATGGCTCTGACGTGTAGGCTGAGAGGCGCAGGTTGAGGTAAATAAGCCACAGGCTTGGGGTCTGCTGTCATTGCAGCCTGGGGGAAGCAAAGCAGGTGGTGGTGGTGGTGGTGTCACCTCCATCCTTCCCCAGCAGGGCACCCTTGTTGCTTTTTGCCTGCCTCAAGGACATGCCAAACTCAGTTCCTCTTGTAGGACTTTTCTCTGTGCTCTGGCAAGCAGGACTACCAAGGGATGATGAATATGAGGATGCAGAGGGCACGTGTTACTACTCTGGGCAGCTGGGACTCCCCCTCATTGCACTGGCCGTGAGTGATGGGCCATGAAGCACCTTCAGCTGACTTCATGCAGTATCAATGGCAATGCCAGTTTAGTGGAACTAAACTAGTGGGTTCTAGCACTTATCGCTCCTAACAAGACCAGAAATATCCCCCATGCCTCATAAAATGACCAGTAACTCCCAAGTGGTTTCTCATATACCAAAGGAGAGAAAAGAACTGGCTACAAATATCTGGAAATGCAAAAAGAAAAAAAGAGAAAGGAGGACTCATATATGATCCCAGCCAAGCACACAAAACTTGTACTCAACACTCAAATCAATGTGCCCGATCCTTGTTTACACACAGGCACTTTATACCGTGCTGCCTAGGTTGTGGAGCCTGGAAGTCAACTTTGCTCTGTGGTGGAAGTAACCTAGCAGTGCACCTTAGCTTATCTTGCAAAGAAAACCACTGACAATAATCATATGCCTCAAATTAAGGATATGCTTAGACTGTTCTCATCATGAAACCACAGTAGCTCGGATACTTGAGTTGTTTCATATAAACTGAAGAAGGTTTCAAAAGGGCTTAGCAAAGTGCTGAAAAATATGAGGCACACTCTAGAAGGTCTAGGCATTGCCAAAATGACCTTGAAGTTTGGGGTGCTTTCTTCCCCCTGTCTTAGCTTTCTTTTCTATTGTTTCTGTGACAATCTTTTCCATGTAATATAAGAAATTAGAAAACTTACAGCTTCTGCCAACATCTGCTGCTGTAGAAGGAGTTGTTTTTGCTCCATCATTTGCCGTTGCAGAGCCTGTTTCTTTTCCATCAGTTGCTGATTCAACATTGATTGCTGGGATGAGTTCATGTAACCACTTCCAGTGTTTGGATTTGAGCAAGAACTGGAGCTTGGAGTGGGGCCAGCTCCCTGGCCTACCACAGAGTGTTGATCCTGAAACAGAAGAAATGGCTCATGAAGGATGAAAATAATAACAAGCATCAAGAAAATGAAATAATCCTTTTTATGCAATTAGTTCAAGTACAGGACATAGCCCACAGACACTCAGGACAAGTGACCGATACAAAGGCTTCGATAAAATAAGAAGGGGATTGAGTAACTTCATGGCTCATAGAAGACCCTGAAAACGTGCCAGGTGGTTCCAGTGGAAAACCTCAGCGTTGTACCAGGAGCTTGGGAAACGTTAACAGAAGTAATGGAGCCGTCCTGAGGAATCTTTCAGGAAACTTGCATTGGGCCGTGTGGCAGTGTGTTTGACCACAAGGGAACAAACTCGGCGTCTGCTGGTTCCTACCATCTGGCGAGCAGCAGCGAGAAGTGACAGACTTATTGCTAGAAGTGGTGTGTATTCTTAGAAAATACAGAAGCAGTACGTTGTTACTTCGCGGTGGGGTGAGTGGTGCCGCTTTCATTTGTCCTGTCACCTCCCTGACAAGAGCAATCTCTGAGAGATTGCTGATTTTCTCCCATTAACAGCAGAATTAAATAGGTTTAGAGTTTATCAGCTTCCTTGGTAAAACAAGTGTGTAACTGAACAGGACTTTGAAGAGGGCTTTAGGGTCCTCCTGGGCTTTGCAATGGATCTAACTCTGCTTCCTCTTCCCCATGTGCAGCTTCATGAGGAAGGGATGACAAAAGTCATCTCAGCGGGGAATGGGGAAGGTACTTGGGAGCTCAGACCAGGAACATACAGGATGAGAATGAACAACGGATGACAATATGCTGCTCATTTTCTTTTACCCGTAGTTTCCCTTGGCAGCAGTATGTTTTCTGTCTACTTGCTCCACCAGTATTTGGTACTTGGACCTTTACCAGGAAATAGTTTTTTCAGTCCACACACAAAAATGCGTTACCCCGCAAAAATACTCTATGTATATATATGCCTATGGTGGATTACTTGATAATCGGGTATTCCTTGGCTGCCCAGCTACAAAGGAAATAGAAGACACTGGAGAGGTCACAACAGTCATGAGAAACATCAGTTTTCTGACTCCACTTTGTTGCAATTCACCATAGGAACCAAACCACTTAATTCTGTGTAACGTATTACGCAGCAGTGTATTTGCCCTACAACAGAGGAATCCACAGCTGGAGTCTGATGGTCCCTGTTACGCAGCAGTTCTCTCAGTCCCGAGGTGTAGTCCCAAGGTCTGGTCTACAACCTAGGTAAAGCTCTGCTCCATGGATGTTGCCTCCCATGGCACCCAGGGAAATATGGACTGACCAACAGTCCTACTGTTAGGGCTATGAAGATGATTAGGGGATTGGAACACCTCTGTTACGAGGAAAGGCTGAGGGACTTGGGTCTTTTTAGTCTAGAGAAAAGAAGACTGAGGGGGAATCTTATTAATGCTTACAAATACTTAAAGGGAGGGTGCCAGGGCGATGGGAAAAGTCTTCTTTCAGTGGTGCCCAGTGATAGGACAAGAGGTAACGGGCACATACTTGAATATTGGAAATTCCATCTTAACATGAGGAGGAACTTCTTTCCTTTGAGGGTCCAGAGCACTGGCACAGGCTGCCCAGAGAGGTTGTGGAGTCTCCCACTCTGGAGACATTCAAAACCCACCTGGACGCTGTCCTGTGCAACCTGTTGTAGGTGACCCTGCTCTGGCGGGGGGGTTGGACTAGATGATCTCCAGAGGTCCCTTCCAACCCTGACCATTCTGTGATTCTGTAACAGTGAAGCAAGGACTGGCCAGCCATAGCCCACCCGTGCCCTGAAGACTGTGGATCACTGACGCTCATCGCTTTGCAAACTCCAGGAAAGCTCATTTCTGTGCCTTAGCTTTTGCACAGACACTCCCCCTGCAATAACACACACACACACACTACAAACTAATCCAACTTATCTTTCTACCATCTGGCATGGAAGAAACACAATGATTGTTACGGGTATTTCTATTTTAAAATAATTCTGTGGCTTTTAGATGGGGCCACACGAGTGCGTAGCTGGCTAGATAAAGTATTTGACGTCTGTTACTGAACTAAAAGCCATGACTTTCTTCTGGAGCCACCTGCAGCCCCCAAGGCAGTGTTACAAACCCACCCTTCAAAATTTATTGGGCTCTTACACAATTATATCCCGCACACTTTCTTTCAGTTCCAGAAGGAATCCAGGATTGCTCGGCACTGCCACATTTTTCAGCCCTTATGTTAGCTGCAAGATAGAAAATACCTCCTCTCAACAGACCTGCTTGCCAAGTTGTTGCGCAAACTTTTTTGTCTTTCTTAAAATATTTTGAAAAGAAAAATATGTTACAATAAATTGGCTTTGACTTCTATATTCAAATGACAACTCCAGCTTGAACCCAGCCACATGTTACATCCATTAATAGAATTCATCTGTTGTGTTTTTGCACAGATAATGCAGGCTGCCCCAAATGTGCTTTCATAGCCCTGTGTAAAAAAAAAAAAGCAACAAAACCCAACTTTTTTTTCTCCCTCATCCCCTGCCAGCCCATATAAGCTGTGGGGAGGGATTTTGTTTTAAGATAAACTGTGTAGTGTCCATTCACGATACCTATCAAAGAAAGCTCTTCTTTAATAGCAATTGGCACAAAACACCAGCTGCTTGGCAAACGGACCCTGAGAAAACAGTATAAATCATCAACTTGGAGCCAGGGTGGGGTTTTTTTTGCATTTGGTCCTTTCTCTGCTGTTCATGATATGTCAGTGTGAGCCTATGAATCTACGATGTGTTACTTCTCCTGCTTGCTGATCTTCCATAGGCAGCGATGCGACGGGAGAAGGAAGAACAGTTTCCTAATAAATCATGGGATTAGCTGCGCAGCAGTTTGACCCTTCGTGAACTGGTGCTATCGAGCCTTACTCTCACCCTGCACTTGTGTTACGGCAAATCAGAAGGTTACACCACTGCCAGGGACGTGGGGCTCTGCCCCTGCGCTTGGACAACACACACTTTCCAACACGCCTGCCGATGAAGGGCAGATGTGGGTTGGAGCTACTCTGCTTTCATGGAGCTGCTTCATCCCGCCCTAAGCCTGGTGTTACTGCAGCTGCTTTACTATGACTTCACACATCTAAAGCTGCCGGTGGCCTTTTGAACTTTATTCCTGGGTTCCCATGCCTGTGGTTCATGCACTTTAACTCTGGAAACCCCTAACTGGATAAAGCCCGGAGTGGGACACGCATGTCCCCTCGCCCAAGGGTGCCTCTGCCCAGTGGGCTGCAGGGGCAGCCCAGTGTCTTGCCTGCACGGTGCCTTGCCTGCGCAGTGTCACCATGTTGTTTCCCGGCACAGGGAAGGTAACTCTCTCCCTGCTTTGCCTCCAAAGAGGTGACACGACCGGGAGCACATCCCTGCAGCCAGCTGGGTGTCATGGACGGGCTGGAAGCATCACACCTCCGACAGGTACAAGTGTCTGTCTGGGTTCACCCCCAACTCCTGCTCCACTTGCTGGCACCACTCACGCGTGCCGCATCCCTCCAGCCCTGCAGACGAGCCACATCCCATGCGGGGCCGTGCCGGGGGCCAGCTGGGGCAGGGGCAGCAGCTGAGGGCTGAGCTGGCATTCACCGAGCACCATAAAACCCCAACTGCTCTGCTGGGGCCAAAACTCCAGCACAGCGATGCTCTAGGTGCAAAGCAGGTGCGTTGCACCCTGTTCTCTGATGTTACAGTGAGATATAAAACCTACAAGAAGTGTGAAGAGAGGCAGAGTCAGTGAAACCTCCTCAGAGCTAATAGCCCAACTGGGGTTTTGTGCACAAGCATCACAAAGAACATTACGCTCAAATGTTTAAATTTGCAATAAATCAAAACATTTAAGACTAAGTTTGCCTTTCAGTATGCCTGCTGCAGCTGACTTGTGTTCATACAAATGAAGGGATGTTTTGGCTTCTAACACACATAGGGACTTCCTGAAACTCTCCTCTCCTCTCCTCTCCTCTCCTCTCCTCTCCTCTCCTCCGGAGCCCCTGAAAGCCTTTTGCAAGCTTGCATTTCTGAATGCCTTGCTCAGAAGCAGTTTAGGGACACTTGGTTGGAAGAGGATGCGCAAACCTTTCTCCTCTTTCTCCTGGAGACGCCTTGAATTGATGAATAATTTTGGTGGGACAGAAGGGAAACAATGGTCAATTTTTTACTAAACCGCAATGCCCTCAGAGGCTGTTGTCTTCCCAGCCAGGAGCACTGGCATCTGTGTCACAGGACGGGCTTCTGCTTCTTGCAGATTTTCCCTCAAAAGGAGGGGGCAAATTTTTCCACCTTTCTGTTCCTCTGTGGGGCAGCTCATCCTGTGGCCAGTGTCAGGTCGGGAGCAACAGTGCTGACTTTCACTGTCCTTTTGCATTAGTTTTGGCATAAAGAAACAAAGTTTTTTTTTATTTTTTTTTTAAAGGAAAAGGTTTCAGTCCATTCACAGAAGCCTGCTCGGCGATGGATACCTCCTTACCAAAAGCTGCTTCCAGGGAAGAGCTCTGCAAAGTTCTGTTCATCTGGTGACCAAACCTGTGCATGATGCTCCCATTCAGTTGCGTTAATCGGCATCACAGGCTGCTTAGAGTGAGGGTGGTGGAGAACAAGCCACCTCTGTGGATTTCTTCAGTGACCAGTGGCTGTCCTGACCCTGTGAGCTTCTCAAGGACATTACGCTTTGGTTGTGAACCACCCTGGACACTGAGCACTAGGAAAAGGAGCAAGAGGAGAAAGAGGAGGAGGAGGAAGAGAACTCCAAGGAGTGACTTGCTGAAGTCCACACAGTTTCAGGGTGGTGCGAGGCTGGTGGAAAAGCCCAAACCCCCCAGGACCCCCTTGTGTGAACCTTCATCGCCTCAGCTGGCATGCTCCTCTCCACAGCCAGAAACTGGGGTTCTCCAGCGGGCCCCGGGACCAAGTACGGGGCAGTACCAGGCTTGATCAGAAGAGCTGATCTCACTCATGCCACTTTAGGAAGCCAAGCACAGGGTGT